CATAATGATTATGTTCTGTAGTCTGGTGAAGAAAACCTAAATATGTATTTAGATTTCACTGTGTTTGGTTCTAGACCACATTCTCTTATAGTGACTACCACAGATTCTGTGTTTTCTTTCATATTTATGCTTACACAAAAACAATGAAAGCATTAGCGGACTAGACACTGACTTATCCCATCCAATTCTAACCTCTCTTTGTTTACTTGGACTTTCTAAAGCAAAGACGGGAAGGAAAGGTGATAAACATCACAGGACAGGAAATATATCAGACAAATGTTGACGTATACAGACCTTACTATAATGTTTTAACACTTTCTAAACAAAGGGAAGCTTCTGGCAGACCGGAAGTATCATTAATACGGTGTCTCAACAGGGATGATGCTAAGCTGCACGTTTCCTGTGTTCTGATTCAAGTAAAGTCAATGCTCTACATGCCCCGTACTTCTGCGCAACAAAAGACCAATTTCTTTCATTAGTTTTAGTCTGATGCTGCACCGAGACGCCGCCTACTGTCGTCTGGAAGAAACTAATCTGTCAAAAGTTGCCTTTGTTGCGTCATCTCTCTCTCTCTCTGTCTACGTACGGCGGGACAGCAGACTGTCTGTGAAAACTGTTTGCTCGCAATTTCCTACTGCGCTCAAAGCCCATCTTTCCCATGTCTCGAGATATCTTTCTCTTTACAAAATCCGAACGTTATTCCCCGATACGACATCATTCACCACGTGCTTCAGCTCCTAACCTTTTGACACTAAGACGTGATAATCCCTCCAGCTCCTGGGAGTGTCCATTGAGGGGAACAGGAAGACTAGAAGGAATGAAGGCAGACATGTGTCGAGATTTGGTGGCTGTATCGATGAACAGACAATTACGTAACATGCCTGGCAAGAAACATCTCGAGTAATTTGTAACATAAATAATTTTCAGTTCCCTGAATCTGGGTGTCGTTTCCACAGACCAAAATTTACTAGTTTCAAACGCTTTTTCGTTGCTTGGAACCATTCATTCAGTAAAACAATCACAAACAGATATGGGAGATGCGTACAAATTTTTGATCTTAGAACCTGAAACGGGAAGGGCTCCTTGGCAGGCACTGGCGTAGATAAGAGAACATGTTGAAATCGGCGGTGGCTGGTTGTTTTCTGAGTTGCACCGAAGTCCATTCCGATAGACGTTTACCGAAGTTTCAGAGGTCCTTGCTGCCTGCATTATTACTCATCGCCCTGATGTCGGAAGCAGCAAGGACATAAATAGCTCCTATTAACCATGTGGAACATCGTCATTCCTGAAAAACTAACAGTCGCTCAAATGATCAAGTAATTCCAAACATTTTATGGAGACCGAAGCTTCATTACAGATTCCTCAAGAGCCCAATACTGATCCGTGCTCTCAGACAGAAGAATGTCAACCACATCATTGTACAGACCACTTTTAATATTATCTTCTAACCTACTCTTATATCTTCCAAGTGGTTTCTTCAGTAATAACACAGCACCTAACCGAAAGATCCAAGCATTAACCCAGCAAACAATTACTGTGTACGCTAATGATAATGGTCTAATCGAGAGAGTGCGGAGTAATTAAGCGGAGAAATTTTATCATGAAAAGCGTAGCTGAACTCTGTCTGGTAGATGGGCAATAACTTGAGGCTCCTGCCAACTTAAGTCGGTCTAACTCTCAGGAGGGGAGCTGAGTAAGTCCTGGGGAAAGGAGAGACGACGAGATAAGGATGAAGCGGAACGTGCGGGCCACTGCCATGACAAATGTCCTCCTGTCGCAAGCTTTGGCTCAGACAATGTTGGCATCCGTGTGCTACTCGTCTCCCCCCCGCCAAATGCAATTAAGCCGCGCCATTTTATCAACAATCTCAACCTGCACTTTCTCTCAACATCTCATCTCATCTCACGGAGAACAGTAATGACGATGCTACAGTGAAATGTGGTACGTAATGAAGCAGTTGACTGAATACAAGAAATCATGACAAACAATAGCACCAATCTCTGTGCACTTGTTTCTAGTGGCTAGGTTGATACAAACTGAATAACTCCATGGACCTAACAGTCAGTCACCTCATCAATAAACCACACGCCTTTCAAGAAATCCTAAGGCTCATTACTGAGTTCATCAGAGCCATAACTCGTCTCTGTCCTGAGTCAGATTATCAAATCCACGCATCGTATTTACTTAACATCAATTTTAATATTATCCTCTCATCTACACTTGAGTTTTATAAATAGTTTCTTCCATTCAGTTCTTCCAAACTAAGTTTTGTACGAATTTCTGACGTCTGCCTCTCGTTCTACATGCTCCACCCATCTTATCCGCCGCGATTTCATAAAGTAAGTTCGCTAACAGCCGCAGTTAACGCAGCGCTTCTAACCAACATACGAACCAGAGTTACGTCAGTCATTTTGTGAACTGACAAAATTTCCTCTCCCTGTCGATACCGTCAAACGACGGTGTCACGTAGCCGAGACAACCAATATTAATTTAGGTTGGTAAAGTGTCCAATTTGTTGTGGGATGAGGACTCTGTCTTGACTAGAGTCGAACGAGATCGTGAAGTTAGAAGTTCAGCGAAGAATGAAGAGATGGTTTATTTAAAATTCCGAAATACAGATTTGTAGTAAGTCTTCTATAAGTATACGATAACAAGTGGAAGTCTGAAGAGTGAGCGCATGACTTAACTTTATTTTAAGGACCAAGTGCGTAGGATTAAAGGTCAAATCACTTCCTGTAGGGGATCTTACAAACGGGATGTTGGAGTTCAGGATGAATGAGTCGAGTTATGTCACAACGGCTTGTCTCAGCGAAATTAAAACCAACCGATAAATAAACGTGATTTATCGACTTTCCATTTGTGAGATAAGAAATACATTACGTTTCATAGCCCTGTTCCATTGTCGTTAAATTAACGACCTAATTATCATACGAAGACCAATTAGTCTTAATTATTTTACGCCGAGTCCATCTTGAAGGACTTCAAGTTATTGGTCTTGTTTCGAAGAATCTAGAAGTACTGATTTACTATGTAGTTAAGTACGAATTAAATAAAGTAATTAAAAGGCAATTACTGTTTCTCTTAGAACTTATTTTCGGAGCACTGGCAAGAAAGGAAATACAAAACGAACTCACAGCGATTAGCTCGCAGGTGGTTTTCACTGTCCACTAAAGAATACACAAAAAACGACGAACAGAAACCTGTGTGACCCGGTGTTCACAACGTCCCGCCACTGGTCCGTGTCCTAAGCCACGTAAGCAGAGCAGGCATTATCTCAGTTAAAGATCAATTTTAATATTATCCTCCCACTTGCTCCAACATGTCCCAAGCGGTTTCTTCGATTCAATTTTTTTTTATCAAAGTTCTGTGTAACTTTATTTTAATCACTCACATGCATGCTACATAAGTGAATGAGAAAAAATAGAGTAGTGCAACCGTATCGAGAGAAATCGAAGGAAACTACACGTAAAGGCTCCCAGGTAGTACCCGTTCGTCCTTCTGATTAGGGCAAGTTCAAGAGAAAGCAAAACGTTTGGAAATGGGGGTGAGAACCAGAGGAATAACAGAAGTTGAGCAAGTCCTTCTGCATTAACCTCTTTAAGGCGGCATTGGCGAAATGTTTATGTTAATATTTGACGAGGTTGCTTTTGGGCGTAATTTTGGCGCCGATACTGTGAGAACTGTATGAGAGGAAAACCACGAAAAAGCCAGTGGATGCTACAAGCCACCAAATTAGATTTTCTTCATGTCTATCTTAAGCAAAATAAGACAGCATGATTTACATGTGCTGAAGTTAAGCAAAAGTTTGTAATTATTCTACCACTGCAAAGGTCTCAAAAATAATGGTATAAAATATATTTACTAGCCGACACGGGCCACTGCGGACAGTAAACAAAAAGTTACATGAAAATGTTTTGTTAAAAAGGATCATTCAGTGACAGGATTAATTACATTTTATTATAATCTGCTGGTTGAAGTGGAAACTACTTTTCCTTGCGATGAGGCGACTGAAGCTTCATACGTACGGCTTTTGTTTTTGATTCAGATTAACCTTCACGTGCCACAACACCACAGAGTTACTGATGGCAGCACAATTTGTTATTCCCTTTTCATTTTAAAATACACCCTGTAATCTGGAAACACAGGCATATATTTCTGGGTTCCTTTTATGCGATACCTGAACACACAAAGCCATGCCATTGCTCTAGTTTTTTATTTAACTTTTAGAAGCATCCCTTTTTCGCCATAAAACTCTACAACTGACAACCATCGCCTTGCTGAGAGGAGAGACCTGGATTCAACAGAATTTCAATGACGCGACAAACGTATCAAAGTCACTGATCGTTACGTTATATCCTTCTGTGACGTAAAACGTACAAGTACAGAGCGTGCCATTTACAACGCAACACAAAACATTCACCTAATACGACGCAAAAACAAAAAACACAAACAAGCCCACTCTCGGTTTCCCAAATCGCCGTTTGACACACAAAGGAAAATGAATCAAGAACTAATAATCGACTTGCGATATTGATGACACCAAATCTTACAAGAAATGTTATAAGTAGGGTTGCATTTTAAGTAAAACACCCTGTAGTCTGCAGTTCATCTTGCCGACAGATCACCACCACACAACTCCACGTCAAGCAAACCACAAGAATGACCTAATGATTTTATTAAACCGGTTAGAGCCAAATAGGTTTTCTCTCTTGTCTGCTGAAGACTGAAGGCGAGAAAATGTAACCCACCCTTAACATAACGCGTCATTAAATTTATTAAGAGTTCCATTATCTTGTCGTGTGTGAGAGAGTCCGCATTACTGAGGTGAAACCCAAAACAGGCGCAAACAATAACAGATGACGGAATTATACGTTCTGTAAAGGCTTTAAAAAATAATAAGAAGAAAAGGGTTTAGCTACATCTTCCTCTTCCATCAACCGCACTACAAAGCTAAAGCAGAAACTGAAAAGGACAAAATACACGCCAAGCAAATTACTCACAGGATCTTGGAGATTCCCCTCGGTTTCTGCAGGACAATTCTTCTCGAAATCACTTCAGTCAGTTGCCGTTCATCCGTTCGTCTTACGCCACGGGCTCTTAAATATGCGTTTGCAGGAACAGGAAATAAATCTAGGAAAAAAAGATGGAACAGAAATAAACGTAACGACCAACATTTTTGAAGTTGGATTTTATGCAGCGATGCTTTTGTGCTTTGAACAAGTATTGCTTTACAGAAGCAAAATCTGAAACATTCATGTCTGTGAAGTCCATCTTGTCTTCGACAGTCACAATCTTGCTTACGTTGGTCACAACATTGACTGTCGTGATTGTCTAATGCCCTCTCATTATGTTCCGTGCAGATGGCCTTAAAACTTGCTTCGTGTTTGGCCCACGTACATGACCTCGGTTCAAACACTTTAATTTATATCAATATCACGTACATGACCTCGGTTCAAACACTTCAATATCAATATCAATACTTTAGATTCTCGGTTATACGGATTTTGACTGTTTACGCACTTGTATTAAACTCGTATTTTTCCTATGCAGAGCCGCCATTACGTTGCGCTCAGCCTCCATGAGCTCGAACCATGACCTGACTATACGAATGTACACGTGAAGTGAGAAGGGTTGCAACATGAGCAACTTAAAATTCCTAAGATAATAACCATAGAAATGAAACTTACTAAATATTTGACGACCCTCGAAAAAATAACTAACTTTTGAGGAGAGTGACACAAGGCATCTGACTCATTTATTGCAGAATCATCTGTTTACTACACTAAGACCGAATTACCTTATTTAAAAAAAACCGTTATTACAGTAATCTCAGCTGTTAATCGAAACTTCAGTTTCGTATGTACTGTTTCAGATTTGAAAGTCCAATGGCTATCGTTTGTGAGCATCCTTAAAACTAGGGATTTCTAGACCACATGACTGACTAATTTGTCTTTGTGTTCTGAAGATCTCCATTACCCTTTTAGTTAAATTATTTACGCAAACATGTCTATTCAAAGCGAGATCTTATTGGCGAAATCGGTGACATTCATGAGGATTGCCGCCTTCTAGTCTAGTAGACATCGACCGACGTTTCTACCAGACTACACGGCGCAACATCCCGAAAGATAGCGATCATCATACTCGTCGCCGTGAGAACGTTAAGTCTCGCCATGTTACATCATTTCTTTTGCTACGTACCTCGCAGAAGTAGGGCCGTATACAGGCCATAAATACAGCTCCCTTTATTACAGTGACCAGATTTCCAACTCAGTGACTTGACTACTTTTACTGAAGCAAGTCATTCGACTACGCATAAAAATTCTTGTAGTAGATGCCATGAATAAAAACTCTTAAAAGTGAAATATGACTAGCATCGTTGCATTCCCTTTGTTTCATTTGTAGAGGGTTAGCTTTTAAGGAAGTGGGCAGCAAAAGGCAAGGATACGTTTGGTTTATGACAGGCGAGTTCTACAGTTCTGGGGTGTGGTTCCAGCTTATGATCATACATATGCACAATTAATTTTCCCAACTGTTCTTAGTCGGCTGGGTCGTAATTCTGACGAAGATTATGGTTGCCTGGCAACAGTCATTGTTGGCCCAGTGCCCTAGCAAACAGGATTGAACAACTGTAGTATACCGAATCAGCACAAACATAACCAAGAGCTAAACTACATTTGCGGCTTAACGTCAGTAGAAGTACAGTTCTGGCAGTGAAACTTGACACCTCCTACAACATAACTTTTCAAAGTAACGAGTGAAACCCGGTTAAGTTCACATAATATCTTAATTAATTTTTGCACATCTGTGGTTTCAAGACTTGGAGCACTAAGATTTGAATGGTAGGATTAAACAACGTCTTTGAAAGATCATATTTGTGACGAGAAGAAACATGCCTTGGTAGAATTTAATTTGACAGACTACTTCGATAGAAATCCAAAACACAGACCCACAATCACGAGGGTGAAAGATACTACTGCTGTTTGTTCTCTGGGATGTAACACCCTGTGGACTCGTAAGTAGATACTAACGTTTCGAACAAATATATTGACTCCATCTTCACTCTATATTCATCATTCATTGTTTATTAATCTCGATCTTCGTTCTATATATCCAAGATCCGCGCAAATAAACATCTGTGATCATAAGCCCCTTTTGTATGGAACTGAAGTAGTGGGTACATGCTGGTAAAACTAGTGCTTCTCCGAGAGTGTTTACGGCCGGAAGAGAACGGAAGTAGCGACTGAAGGTATTTGGAAGGAGAGTGTTCAGGTGACTGCAGTCAACCTCTACAGTAGCGACTTCGCTGCCACGCTCCCCGTTCGGCCATAAATATATTTTTTACAACTTTCAAAACGACCGGACGGTCTGCGTTTTCTGACTGTAAGAACTTCTTAGCTTTGTCAGCTATTTTTCAATCGATACATATTATTTTATTCTAAGATAGCACCATGTTTCTCCTCGTTTCTTTTACGACTCTGTTCTGCCCTTAGGAGGCCATAATCCCGACATGTTTCATTTCAAACTTGCCGTAATCGGCGTAAAGAAGTGTTTCTCAACCAATGGTGGGCGGATCACTGCCGACCAGAAAATCCTTGATCGCGTCTATTTCACGCCTAGCGGCTCTTTCGTTCACCCTTAACTTATGTTTAACATCACTAATTTTCCCTGTCACGTGTTCTACTGCGCTTAGTTCTGTGACCGGCGCAGTGGCAAGGAAGAAGTGTTATGGGTTGTTTGGTACAGCTCTTCGATGTAATGACGAAGGCTGATATTTAACAAAAATACGAGGGAGTTAGCTGATTAATTAACGTAAGTTTCGACTAGAGAATTCCCGAAAAATTCTGAATCGTGGGAAGATACATGAGCAAAACTGGAAGAAATTAAAAAATACGATTTTCAGCAATAAGAAATTAATTCTAGATACTTCAAGAACTGAAGAACGTAACAATTTGTAAACCTGATGCATTTATTAGATTATTTCTGAATTTCAGATATGGAGGATAGCTGCCAGAATATCTTATACGAAGTCGCAGGCAGCTTACAAGGGTTGGTCATCCAGCTGTGGGCTTAGGCGAAGTACTTACAATTCCCCACCGTAGGAAAAAAGCGCGTTACTCCTGGCATCGGACTTTGGAGGGACTTAAGCAACGGAAAATGGACGCGACGTTCGGAACTTGGGAGTGGCAGATGTCTGGATAGGTCAGGTTCCTTAGAAACCGTTCCAAGAGGAATAACGACATCTTGTAAGTTAGATTTAGGAGGAGTGCAGGGAATGAGACGGGACAAGGGTGACACTGAACTAGCGCAAAGGAGCGCCGACCACATCTTGTGGAGAGGCTTTTTCGTACACAGGGGAACCGTATAAGCGGTCAAGAGGTTTCAGTTTCTTTGAAACGATCCTTGAAGACGAATGACATAATTAGTTTCAGTGTTGTTGTTTTACGTGCCAAAACAATCGAATGTTTCGTCCATTTAATAGAAGTGCGCCGACATACTTCAGCGTTTACCTTGTACGTGCTTAGACTATTTAATTTTGAAAATTATGATCTCAAAATTAATATCTCTGAAAGGTTAACACGATACCTTTTCTAAAATTCCGCCTTAAATAAAGACAATATACTTGTGTTGTAAGTTCAGCATGTAAATAACTGGCTAATTAACAACCTAATTCCACAGGGCAGGATTTTCTCGAAATGTTCATAATTGCTTATTCGATCAAAACATCTTTGCTTTCGGGAAATTAAGTTGATTTCCGTGTTTACAACAGGTCGCCTTGAATCTTAGACTAAGACAGCGTAGTCCAAGCCAAATATTTACGTAATATCGTTTTTAGTATTATCCTCCCATCTACGTCTTTTCAACAGGAACTACAGATCAGTCACTTTAATCGTTTTATTTATTTTAACGTCTTCAATTCTTGTTATTGTCCAGCTCATCTCAGACTTCTTGCTTAATCACAGTCATGCGTCGAGCGGGATTCGAACCAATTACCCCAGTGTGCAAGGAGCCAAGACGCACTCCTTACATCGTGTGGCCACTCTGCCGGCTAGCATAGGAAAAGTATGATCGAGAGAATGCCAACCACGGCCGATGGATATGAGACCTAAAACGGAACTGTCTTTAACGCATCTCTACGCAAAACACCATTCAGTTTATTAGCCAGAGATTTCAGCGCAATCACAAACTGGATAACCACTGGCTTTTGTTGAATATACCGGTTCTGAGGAGGGGGAACGTTGCATCTCTTACATTAAGAGGATGATAGTATTTCTGTGTGCGTCTGACTTTGGAATACCAAGAAAATTAATACTCGGGAGAGAAGTCTCAAACCCCTATGCCTGCTTTCTGCTATCAATTTTAAGTGACATCCCTTGAGAACTCGTTATAAATGAGTGCATGAGCATGGGGAAATGTACAGTCTGTCCCAAAAATATGTATTCGCAATGCTGAAACATGCAATGGTTGTGTACGTATATACTTTTGGGACACACTGTATTTTGCGCTGTAACGTTGGCTTCTCCACAAATGAAGATTAAAAGACGAGAGTGAAGGAGTAGGTGAACCGATGGGAGGAAGAAAAGGGCGTTTCAAAAAGCAAAATGGATTGCAATGGAGTAATGAA